AACAGAGGCAGTTCTCACAGAGCAAATATATGTTTCATGTGACCTTAAGCATCTGAAGTTAAAGCTGCAGCTTAGAAAGAGGAGTACGGAAGTAGGTGGCTGATATAAAAATATTATCTTCTGGCTAGTTTCCACTTGGGTGACTGATTGTGGTGGCTCTCAGTTTTATCACCGCAAGACAAATTGTTCAATATGATTTAAAAATGACTTCAGTCTGATAGACATGAAAAGTGAATTTAGGCACTTGCTCTGCAGGCAGGGTCTCAGTGCCTGCAGTTGGATGATACCTTTAAATTAAATATTAATTTTAAAACAGCTTCAGAATCAGTTACTTCAGTGATTTTTTTTTCTTTTTTACTAATTTAGTTATTTTTTAAAATGAAAAGTAAGAAAGATACAGATTTGTTTGCAGAGTTGATAGCCAAAACTATTTGAGTTTTGTTATGATATAGGAGTAAGCCCATTGATTAGATAGCAGAAAAAGCTCAGCAGAGATGATTCAGAAATCTATCATAAGATGGATGGTAAACTTGATTTTGAGACTCAACAGCTTTTCTTTGCAAGAAGCTGACCTGCCAAAACCCAATTTTTTGAGACCATACTAGGTTTGGTTAGCTTTGGTTGGAATAAGATCCTTAAATCTTAATTTAAAAAGAACAGAAGAGAGAGAAAGCTAGAGAGAGAAAGGAAGAGACAAAGAAAAAGAAAAAACAATGTGCACCCATCAGTCAGTACACAATATCCAGGAGTTTCTTGCCAAGAAACTTGAGAACCCCAGGGCTAAGATAGGAATTTGAATACTATCTTTTCCTCCTTTGTGACAACCATATCAATAAGTACCTGGTAGGGGGAGGACCCTCTCTTTATTTTTTAAAAACTTTCAGCAGAATTCTTCCCATCCATTACAGAATAGGAAGAGCTTGGAAGAGCTTGGACTCATGAATGGTTTTGCAGGACATGAAAATTATTGCCTTCTCACATCTATTCATAAGAAAGAATACAAGTATTTAACTTGTTAAGAGACTAGCTATAGTTCTGAGTTTTTAGTCAGTTCTTGCTATTTTGTAAGATGGGAAGAAAGGATTGAATTCTAGTTTTGCTATTCAAATTACTAGATATCAAGGCCTCTGAAAATTGTGTTAAACGTTTTATTAGCCTGTTGCGTGGTGGACTGACCAAGTTAAGAGTCCATATTCCATGGTTTGAAGGATAGGAAACAGCTTATAGGAGACACACAGGTCTACTTCAGAGCTTCTAAAGTAAACTAGGATTGCAGAAAGTCTCAAAAGCTTCTAAGCTAAACTAGAATTGCAGAAGCTCTGTGCTGCCAATGAATGTAGAGAGCGTAAACTTGAAAGGGAGAGAGGCAGCTGGAGAACTTGTCAGATCTGCCTCAGTCCATGTAGATGAATTGCCAGTCATATATTTGCAGGCTGATAAATAAAATAACATGTACTTAATGTGTTGTTGATTGAGCACATTTCAGTTCATCTTTAAATGTTTGTTAGAGGTATGTGGATAGATATTTTGAGCAAACAAAGATGTTGAAATGATTTTTCTTGCCTATAGTACTCCCAATCACAGTATTTTCCTACAGCCTAAAATTCTGGAATCCCGAATACCTAGGGATGCTTTCATTTTTCCAGCCATGTGAAGGAGATAAATCTAGGACATGTGATTTCCTGTAGTATAAAGATGCCTACCATGGTATTAGGTTCGTAGACGTCTATACAGAATGCGACGTTAAAGTGCTGAAATTTGCCCCAAGATAGAATCCTTAGAGTAACATTATCTTATGGTTACCTTTTACAGTATTAATTCATTGAAATTCTTCTGTATCACAAACATTGGCAAATATCACCTTAAAATAAGTATACAATACATTTAGCCATAATTTCTGGTGTATCTTTGTTTTAATGTTGGTTATAGCCTTTTGTATACTCTGTACCCTAGGTCATGGGATGCAGTGCACGCTCAGAAAAATGAGGGGAATGTTTGACATGCTGGAGGACAGGGTGGTTCTCTGTGGGACCTTGACAGGCTGGAGAAATGGACTGAGGGTCATGGGTCCAACAAAGGCAAACGCTAAGTCCTGCAGTAGGAGTGGAATAACTGTGTGCAGTAGAACAGGCTGGGGATGACTGGGTAGGAAAAAACTTTGCAGAAAGGGGCCTGGCGGACAGTAAGTTGAGCAAAGACCAACTGCACAACTGGACTATCTTAGTGAGAACATAGCTAGCAGGTCCAGGACGGTGATCCTTTACCTCTGTTTGGCACCTGTGAGAATGCTATTTGGCATCTAAAGTGTTGTGTCCAGTTTTGGGCTCCCCAGTAAGACAAGAAAGACGTTGACATAGTGGACTAAGTCCAGGCAGGGCCACCAAGGTGGTCAGGGGCTGGAGCACTTCATATACAAGGAGAGGGTGAAGCACCTAGGTTAGCTCATCCTGGGGAATTGAGGGCTTGGGGAGACCTTATTGCTGTCTACAACTACCTGATGGGAGATTTGTAGAGAAGATCGATCCAGACTCTTCTCAGAGATGCCCTGTGGAAAGATGAGTGGCAGCAGACACAAGGTGGAACAAGGGAAATTTTGATTAGATGTTAGGAAAAGGTCTTTCACCATGAGGGTGGTCAAACAGTGAAACAGGTTTCCCAGAGAAGTTGTGCAATCTCCATCCATGGAGGTGTTAAAACCTCTGCTACACAAAGTCCTAAACAACCTGTTCTAACTGGACCTGCTTTGAGCAGGAGGTTGGACCAGGTGGCCTCCTGAGGTGCCTTCCAGCCTACATGATCCTGTGATCCTGATATATCAGTTATGGGTGTAGTTTATTACTTTCATTCACACTTTCTCTGCTAAATTCTCAATTGAAGAGTTGAACCTCACAAGTTACAGAAAAATTATATTGGGTACAAATTATATAGTAACTTCATATTACTGTTCATGTATGATTTATCTACGTACTACTAGTATTAACATCTTAGTGCCTATTCATTTAAAAGTAGGAAGCGTCTTTGGGACCTGAGGTATAGAACCACAAAAGTAATGTAGATCTTTGCATAAAGAAAAAAATTGTATTGTTTTTTCTAATCTACTCGTTTACTGTGTTCAGATTAACTCTATCAGTTACTGTATCTTTACTTACAATGAGAGAACTTTGTTTACTTTGAAACAGATTTGCTTTAGAACAGATTTAGAACAACAGTGACTCAGAAAACATTATCTGATAAATGGTAATTGAGTTGAAAGTGACAGAACTGCAAAACTAAATTTAAATTCATAGTGGATGATTTTTAAAAAATAGCAATGTGCTGATAAATTATGAGCCTTTACAGAGAAGTTAAGAAATGGGAATGACTGATTTTGCATTTTAAGAAAAAACATATCCCAGCAATTTAAATCCTTTTTCCTCCCACCCACTTTAGCCCCCAAGAAAAAGAAAAAAAAAAGAGAGAGAGAGAGCTAAAAAATATTCAAATCAGTATAAAGAAAAGTAATACAAAATCCAGTGATGTTGCCTAAAAGTTTTGCACATCTGTGGGCTCTCTCTGAAGTCTATGGTGCAGAATGCTTTCTTGTAGAAAGCAGATTCTAGAAGAATGAATTGAAAGAGGGACTGTGGACTAACTTGAGTCCTTTGCCATCTCTGAAGAGATATTTTGATTCAGCTATAGCACTGATGGGTCAATATCCCAGAACCCACTTGGGTGGATTTATGCTCTTATCAGATAAATGAAAACCTCTGTAAAGCAGAAACATGGGAGTTAATAATGGATCTCTCTGTACTTGCTGCAATGTTAAAATTAATACTGTAGATTTCAAAGGGCATTGATAATTTGGTCCAAGAGCAGAGGAAATAAACTGAAGAGAAAGCAGCTAAATCTCTCCTGCAATTCAGCTGACAAGAAATGAGTACCTTCAGTAGATTAATCCCATACATGTGGATGTGTGTGTGTGTCAGTAAGGAAGGGAACAGTAATTTTGACAAGTTGGATGGAGCAAATATTATAGAGTCATATAAAAATGTCAAATGTACTTTAAATCTCTGACAGCCCATAATCAACGTTAAAGACTTAAATATGAATTAATATTGAAAAGCAAAACATCCAAATGTTTTAGGTGACTACAAAAGCTGAAGCTTTCCCATGAGCACTTCCTATCATTTTGAAGAAAAAAAAACAGGAGTGTTCTTCTTTTCATACCTCATGCACTTATCTGTCAGAGATCAGTAAAGAGTAGACTTACTAACAGCAACAAAAGTAGTATACAGGTGATGAATCTAGTAGAATGACTACACTATTTAGCTTCATGGTTTGAACTTGCTTCAATAGGTTCCCATCAGCATTTCAACAAAGTTCTTGGATCATTACAAGTGCTATTCTTATTCTATAGTTCACATAATTCTACTAAATTTTTTGTTGCTATAGATTAAAAGAACGAGATAGATAAACCATTTCATTAGGAGGCTTGACAGTGTTTCACTACATCCATCTCCTGGATTTTGAAAACTAACACTTTTTCTGTTACCCTACCTTCAAAAGTTTCAGTGATGGGAAAATCTTTTTAAATAAGGTGTTCACCAGACGTTGAAAATAATTTTACAGTAGCTTAGTTTATTTAAACTATTTCTCTGTTAATGAGTATAGCTCATAGAAAGGTAAGCTGAATTGTTTATTTAATATTATAACAAGTGTTACAATGCTGGATAATGTTTATAAAAACACACAATTGTGAGACATTATTACAGTTCTTTGTGAGGGTTTAAAGAAATGGCTTACAACACAAATGCCTCCAATATCTCAGTTTATGAAATATTCTAATTTTGGTGCTATATCTACTCTTAATAAAGAATATATATACAGCTACTGAAGGTATGAACGTTATTTAAACAAAAGAATAATCAAAGCATATGAATGAGTCAATATATGTAAAATCAAATAATATTCTACAGAATGGTAATCAGAAAACTATATATGTGAATTTCTTTCTTTTCTAGCACCGCTAACAGATAAACCACCAAAGCTTTTACATCCTTTGGAGAGTAAGCTAACAGTTCAGGAAACCCAATTAGGTAAGTAGAAAACACATAACTTCTACTCAAATTGTATGAAGATATTTTGTGTGTTAATGTGTGATGCTAATATCATGATATGTCAACATTAATGCTTTCATTGAAAAGATATTAAAACACACCTTGTTCCCATGCAGAGATGCCACCTAGAAGAGTACTGCTCATGATTAATTTGTAGTAATTAATAGTAAATGCTAAATTCTTGAATATTACTGGCAGTTATTTAAGTTTGCTGAAGTTTTATAGTTATATGTGTACCTGAGCTTTTTTATTAAAAAAAAAACTTTTCTGTACTTAAAATTCACTGTTTATTTAAAACTTAGTGTGATTTTGCAGTTAAAATTTTGCCTGCATGACTTCCTTGCTTTGGTGATTACCTATAGAATTGCAAAAATATTCTCTAATTATAAAAGTTGTGCTGGTCTGAAACCTACTGGGAGACAGTGAGAAGATACATAATAGTGTTTGATTATCTTGAATGCACAATTATCTGAGTGGTGTAGTCTTTGTGACAATGAACGGAGAGAAATTCAGTTATGAGGAAACCTTTTCACTTTTTGCGTGTAGATGGTGGGTATATTTTGCCACTTTGGTCTCCTACTGCTGTACAGGGAATTAAGGCTCCAAAGCTAAGTGAATGAGTTACTACAGCTTGCAGGAGGTAATAATCCATCTCCTTTGTGGATTGACACAGAGGGCAACTCGTAAGAAACGATCCTTGGTAGGTTACACTGGAATTATGCTTTGGTGTCCAAACAGTAAACGATCGATAGATTCTCTAGCATGTTAGCTACGGAAACAAACAGAAAAAAATGTGATGGTTAAGTCTAAATCTCAACCAAGCCTTTGCAATATGGAAGAAAAAAGCAAAACCCAGGAGATTCTGCTGCATAACACCAGGAAAAGCAAAAGTCTTGCAACTGAGATATGACAGTCATTGTCAGAGCATTTTATGGTTCTTATCAACCTATATTGAATAATAACCATCATATAATTCATCTTTGTTTTGATATCATAAAATATTGCATAAAATAATTGTAGAAATTCAGAGAAGATGTTGATGCATATATTTTCTGAAACTTTTACATAGAAAAGAGTAGATGTAAATATATTTATTTATGGAACTAGTTTCTTTTGTTTTGAAGGTGTTGTTTTGATATAGCAACTCAAATAACTTATCTTATATGACATTTCTAGAGGATTTTTCTTTTCATTCACATGCACACCTAAGGAACATAAAGAGAAGTGACTCTGTACATTTTTTTCCTAACTAATATTGCTTACTAAAATATGTTTTGGAAAAAAAGGATAGGGCCTTTATGGGCCATTGTCTTGCCTAAATGTACTGTATTGATGAGATTTATTCAAAAAGAGCACAATTCTTAGCAGCTATCTAGAGGGCTTTTATGTATGATTTTTAGGATTAATCATATCTTTGACTTCTAATAGTTCTAAGAAATAGAATGAATAATTTGAGAAACGCATGGTTATGAAAAAGACACTTTTTAAGAAGGCTAAATATCGATTGATGAATGTGAAAGGATTCACTTGAAAATGTCAGCTTCAGATACATATTGGAAAGACTGATCATAAAAGAATGTGAAGCTATAATACTTTGCCTTCTATCAGGAAGCTACAAGAATATATTAATTTATTGTTTAGAAGTCTGTGAAAAAGTATATGAGAGCTGGAGCAAGTGTAAAAAATTGATAATTTCCTAACGGGAACATTGTTATGGACCTCTCTGTTTAGATTTCTTTTCTGATCCTGCTAGATACTGTTTGATAGACCTATATTTCACTTTCATTGTGGAATGGTTTCATTTCCTTCAATGGTTCAGTTCATATCCTAAAAAATACACACCGTTGTGACACTGGAATAAAGTTCAAATTCACTTAGACAAACCTTAGGTAGTTAGGTAAGCTAGCAGCTGCCTACCTGCTTGAGGCTTGGGGCAATCAGATGTTCCAGACTGGTCTGGACACTACTGGGAAATAGATGTTTGTCCTCCAGAATGTGTTTGGGATGGTGTATTTGTCCTTTAGTTTAGAAACAACTACATATTGGAGGAGCGGGTGGTACACAAAAAGAAGAACAATGAGCAAGGAGCTTGAGGTAGTCTGGCTTTTAACTCAGCAGGTCAGCATCCATGAGACGTAGAGCTAGTACGTACCCTGACTCTTTTGCGCTTCTCACCTGGCTGCAGTCCTTCACCTTGAAGTAGACGTGAAGGCAGGGTGTGAGTGTCTGGGCATGCACTGGGGCTGTATACATAACGTGCAGGAATGAGTGTGCTTCTGTGGGTGGGCAGGGTGTGCTGGAACATTAATAGCAATGGTTTACTCTGAAATGGTCCTGAGCTGGTAGACCGCTTAAGAATGCTGGTGGACACTCTTTAGAGGAAGAGATGAATAATCCCAGTGTATTTGCTGCTGAATGAGACTCTGGAGTTCAGTTCTCAAACTAAGGTATCTCCACAAAGTGTCTTCATCAAGGTGACATGACTCCAGGACTGTCTGATTACTGCCAGTGATTCAAAAAGGGATTGAGACATCTGATATTTATTGCTGAGACATTTTGGTCTCTTCTATACAGCAGCAATTAAAATTAATATCACAGAACCACAGTTCTACTGTATTATTGTGTTGCATGGCTTCTGTAAAACACCAGCAGACCAAGAAGTGACTGCTCATATGAGGAGGAGTTTCTCTAATGGTGATTAATGAAATGTTACGATATGCACTAACAACTGCAGTTTGACTTTCTAAGGTAAAAGAAAACAAACCAGAGCTGGAAGATCTGCACTCCTCACTCCTACGAACCTTAAGAGTCCGGTAAAGCTAAAGCTAATGTATCTGGGTTGTGAGGAAGTTGTCCCACTATTCACTTAATATTTAGGAGAGTGTTAAATATGGCTAAAGTGCAGTAAGCAGCCTTAGAGAATCACAGGAATTCTTGAGACCTCATTAGAAATTTCTTTTTATCACATTAAATATTAACCAGAAAGTTCCCGAGTAGAAGAGCAGGAGGGAAATTGAAGAAGGAATTTATTTCTAAAATAATTTTTTTAAGCATGATCTCCTAAAGCCAAAGCATGAGGCAGAGAACTCCTACATGAAGAAAGAAAGATTAGTGCCCAACATATTCTGGTCTGCATTTAATCTTTTTCATTTGTAACTTCACCTCCAATTTTGTAATCGATAACTTAATCCTGTGGCAAGAGTAAAAATATTGTGTTTTTTAAGCTTTTTTCCCACTAAGAGTTCTTAAGTAACTCTGGCAAGTTCAGTATAAACTGCTTCTCTGCAAACAATGACTCCAAATGAAATATGTCAAACATATTCCTCAAGAGTTTGCAACTTGCAACAAGCTTGGTGCTATTGGCGGATGAGGGTGTTTCCCGCTCAGCTCTGAGCCATGCTGCGGGCTGGCAGCAACCCATTAGGGCAGAGAGAAGAGTCTCCACGACTATTGACTGGCAAGGCACAAGTAGTGGAGAAGAATGTGAAAATAAGGAACCGCCTCTTGTGATATCCTTCTTCCTACCCCCAGCACACTAACAAAATCAAATCAATGAACGTCTGCTGAGATAAAAATTCCTTCTAAAAATAATAAAAGTAACAACCTTTGAGTTCAGGCTGCAGAAGTGAATTCAATTCAGGCGTCATTCAGAAGCAAATCAGTTGACATTTTTTCTTATATATAAAAAATCCTAAATTTCAGATAACTGATTTTTTCTTTTTAATTCTAGGTTCATGTAGATGTTACATATGTATGTATATGTGTATATGTATATGTATATATACATAAATTCTTTTCTGGTTTTCTGTATGGGCAAATTTTAAGTTTTTTCAAATTTCACCTGCATATCAAGCAACAACGGATTTCCCACTGACACTGTAGAATTTATTTACTTCCTCAAGAAAAGAGGAAGCATACTTTCAGTCTGATTCTAGGAAAACTAGTTTTATTATCCAGTTGGTATATCTTTGTGTTCTGAAAGAAGACAGGTGCATCTCCACATGAGACAGTACCGAATTTGAATAAAACACCACTAAATAATGATTTTAAACACCTCACAAGTAAGTTAGCCTATGTCCCCCCCATTTTCCAATATATCATTTTCCTTTTCCTGATTCTGCGCAAGGCTGTAGCTTGAAAAGCCAAAATTCTCCTAGAAAAATAAAACAATTACTGTATTATTTTTAGATAGTTTTGATGTTAGAGAAAGGGAAAAAAAGAAGAAAAGATTCTGAGTACTGTATGAGTGGACTTAAGAGAGAAGTCTGGATAGGCAACCAGACATTTTCTCTGTCATCTCAAGCACAGGAGTTTCATCCAACACTAAAAAAATTACTCTTTTGAACTAAATATGCAGGGCATGTGTTTTCTTACCTGTCTTTACGACATCATTTCAATTATTATTCAGTTATTCAGTTATTCAGTTATTTTTATATTTTTATTGTCAAACATTAATCAATTATTTCAATTATTTCACTAATATAATAATATATTCAGTCATACCACCTGGTGAACTGGGGCTTGCTTCTTATTTCTCCCCCTCCCCCACATGTATCAATGAAAAAATGTCACTAAAACTCCTTTTCATGTATTGTCTCTAAATTAAAAATATAAAAAATTCCCAGAGGTTAGTCTTCACAGAGAGGAGAATACTAGTCCATTTATAACACTGTATTTTTATAAAAATCTTCTGCAAAAATTGACCTTGTTAATGATGAAAGCACTCCTTAACTAGCCTAATCAGTAGCTGTGTAAATAAATTAACTAAAGTGATATGAATTAACTGACAATCTGTGTCTCTAATCTATCTGAAAATTAAACTGAAATAGTATCTAAAATTATTTCTTATCTCCGTACAATTCGTCTGAATGCCATATTGACTCCATAACAGGAACAGAATCTTTTGCATGATCATATATCTATTTTTAAGCTTATCTTTTTTAATTACAGCAGTGTTCTTTAAACTAAGACAATATTTT